AAGGAAGACATACTATCTCAGCATAGCGGAAATGCCGGAGACAGGAGGCATGGATGCTTACATGAGAAGTTGGACCTCCACAGACGAGACAATTAAGAATGACAGACGCAGCAACACCCTTCTCACTGCGACAAACCCACTAAATAACTGTTTTACTAGGACAAGTACTTAACCATGCTAGTCCTACGGAAGATTGCACGGCGACGTCACTCGCCAACTTTAAGGAGATTTGAGAAGCGGTAAACCCCCATCACAACTCAATGTGGAGAACTGCGAGGAGATTCACAAAACCTCACTCGCAGCTTCCCACATTGAAATACAAGGACAAAGTGTGCTCCACCGACGAACAAAAAGGCGAGGCCTTCGGTGAACTATTTCAGGATATTTTTCAAAATAATATCCCCACCCCGACCAACAAACAATCGAAAACTTGGTGGTAGACATTCAAAATATGGAGCGGGATACTGTACCCCATAGCTGCCTAACCACACCCCAAGAAATCAGTGATGTGGTCAGGAAACTACAAAATAAAAAAGCCCCAGGGCCAGACGGCATTAATAATCACTTAATCAAGAACTTCTCTAATAAAGCCTACGTATACACGCATCACATCATAAACGCTATCCTAAAGTTCCAGTATTATCCTCAAGAATTCAAAAATGCTAATATCATTCCAATCCTAAAACGAGGTAAACCATATAAAGACGCGCAAAGCTATCGTCCCATCTCTCTGCTGAACAGCTTAGCCAAACTTACAGACCGCATAATACTTAAACGCATACACACTTACGAAATTGACCATCCTATTATACCGTCAGAACAATTCGGGTTTAGGGCAGGCCACGGCACAGTAGCTCAAGTCATCAGAATTGCGCATCATGTCAAAAAAGCGTACAACAACAAACAACAGACAGTTCTGGTGGCTTTAGATGCAGCCAAGGCCTTTGACTCGGTTTGGACTGACGGTTTAATCCACAAAATGTTTATGAATGACTACCCCGTATTCATTGTAAAAACAATTCAAAGCTACTTACACAACAGAAACTTTCACATCAAAATCAATGACTCACGTACAGGACCATTCACAGCGAAAGCGGGGGTACCCCAAGGTTCGGTACTCTCGCCTCACCTGTATTCCATAATGACCCATGACATACCAATGGGTCAAAATGGCATACAGACGGCATTGTACGCCGATGACACTTGTGTATTCAAATCATCGGCATCGGCAGAGATCGCCATGCGTAGACTGGAGATCCACACAAACAGAACGTTAGTCCCCTACCTAGATCATAACAAAATCACAATTAACCCGAACAAAACCGAATCTGTATTGCTAACTAAAATGAATTCAAACAAGATTTTCTCCCCTCTCAAAGTCCAAAACAACATTATTCCCACTTCAAATATCTCGGTATTATACTAGATAGGGGGCTAACGTTTAAAAGACATATTGACGACAGAGTGAACAAAGCTACGGCTATGATACGCACACTTTACCCCATGCTACATAGACGTAGTGGAGTTACCAGACAAAACAAATTATTACTATTGTAACATTTTAAAAGTCGAATTATAAAATGTTATTTTAAATGTGTGCCATCCGGTATAAGAAAGGGAAATTTCTTGAAGTGGGAGTGCCACTAGCCAAGCGATCTCAAGTCAGATTTGTAAATTTCATTTCATTATTACCTTTCAATTAAATCGGTGGTGCATTTGGGCTGATAAAGTGGTAAGCACAGAAAGTATATAATAATAATAAAGGTCTTTATTTTCCTTTCAAGTTACATAACTATTTACAAACATTATGAAAAACAAAGCAAGAAAGGAAAAATGCCGAAGATCAGGTGACGATAATTTAAATGAAATCATCGCCTCTGTTTTTCATCTTAAGCAGTAGTAACAATGACTAAAATTAACTTAATTTCTAATTACTAAAAAAAAAAAAAACAAATAAAACAATTTCAATTAGCAATATCAGAAACATTAGAAAATAATATGAAGGAATATTTCTTTTTTAGAATATTACCAAATATTACCAACTATTACCAACTAACCAAATAACGCGATAGACGATTAGTGACTTTTTAAAGAGGAATTTTCCATGATTAAAGATGAGTTACTACTCGTTTAAAAATGTATGTTTAAGTGATTTTTTGAATGCAGGTGTAGATTTTAATTTTAATTCATTAGGTAAAGCGTTATATATTTTTGATATTTGGTATGTAAAGGAGCGTTTATATTTTTCTGTGCGGTGAGGGGGAGCTGTTATTCTGTGCCTATATCGAGTATTTAGGAAATGCGTATCAGAACCGTATTTAACTTTATTATATAAATAAACAGGTAAGCGGTTTTTAATGACTTTATGGAATAGACAAGCAGCGTGAAGTAACCTTCGTTTTTCCATATTTAGCCAATTCAAAGTTTTTAATTTATGGGATATAGGTTGTCGTCTTCTGATTCCACAAATTAGACGAATACATGAGTTCTGCATGACCTGAATTCTCCTTTTGTCATCTGACCCAATACAGGGACCATAAAGGACATCTCCATAGTTGAATTTTGATAGAACCAACGAGTCACATAGAATTTTTTTAACATTAAATGACAGGTAATGATGATTAATGTAGATTGTTTTTAAGTTAATGAAGGCATTACGAATACATATATTGATATGACTGCTAAATTTGAGCTGATTGTCCATGACTATACCAAGGTTTTTGGCGCTGTTTACGGGTTTTATTATATCACCCTCAAAATTTAATTTAATTGAGTCAGGACAAAATTTATTAGGGCCAAAGACAAGAACATTCGTTTTTTTCGAATTAATGCTAAGAGCATGTGTTTTTGCCCACATAGCTAAGTTTTTGAGATCTTGGTTGATAAGGTCAGTGACATGTAAAATATTGTTTGGATGAAAAGAGCTATAAATTTGTGTATCGTCGGCATATAGGTGAGCCTTGCAAGATTTTAAGACTGTTCCGATATTTTTTGTATAGAGAGTAAATAGTATAGGTCCTAATATAGATCCCTGAGGAATTCCAGATCGTACCCTCATAGAATCAGAAATAATTTCATTAATTTTAACACGTTGGCTTCGATCACTTAAGTAACATTTTATCAGACCTACGGCATCAGGCGAAAATCCTATACAATGAAGTACGGCACACAGCAGGGAATGATTAAGGGTATCGAATGCTTTACTAAAGTCTATTAAGATTTAAACCGAAATGTTACCATCATCCCTAGCCTTTAAAATATCATCGGTTACGTTAAGAAGTGCAGTTTCACAGTTATGAGATGGTCTGAATCCTGACTGATATTCTGGTAAAATATTATGAGTTGATAAGTAGATACGAATTTGTTCTTCTATTATTCTTTCAAGTACCTTTGAGAGAGTTGGGAGAATACTAATGGGCCTTAGATCCTTAAACTCGGTTGGATTACTAGTTATTTATCAAAAAGGTAACAAATAATACTGCAAATTGTAGCCTAACGGGGCAAAGGAATATTGCACTATACAGACAAATCATACGACCAATACTGACATACGGATCTCCAGTCTTTTGTTCGGCCTCACACACAAATTTGCATCGACTTCAGATAACACAAAACAATCTTCGGCTGGCGTTGGGGTATGACCGCTACGCTAGAATAACTGACATGCACAACGAAGCATCCATGCCTACGATTGCAGAATTCATTACAAAAACGGCTAACAGATTCTACAACAATAGTCTACCTATCAAATCAAGGAAGACATACTATTTTTCAATGTTACAAATGCCGGCGACAGAAGGCATGGATGGTTACATGAAAACCTTGACATCTACACACAAAACCATTAACGAAGACAAACTCAGCAGCACCCTCCGTCCTGCGATGAGTTACTAACAGCTATTTTACAAAGGACTAGTTCTCTACAAAACTAGTCCGACGGAAGACTGCACGATGACGTCACTCGCCAGTGCGGAGATCGGGGCCCTCCTGAGCACCGCTCTGACGAGTGATTTCACCGTGTAGGCTCGTAAAATAGCAACAACCCCCACACAGACTATCACAATGACACACATACACACAAGGACAACCCTGGTTTTTCGCAGTTTTTCCCAGGGAACTCTCTACAAAATTAAATTCACACAAAAACTCACACTTTCACTTCAATTTCCGACCACAAACTCGCCAATAATTACCATATTATATCTTCGGATAACGAGATGGTACTTTCACTTCACCTCACAATTTAAAAATTGGAAAACGTAGTTCGGGTTAGGACGTCAGTCGCGTCCAATAATAACCAGCATGGGCGGATTATTCGGCACGCACATGTGAATGCTATACCAATGATATGTACATATTTTATTTGAATAAAGAGATTTTAAAAGTAAAGTAAGAGGAGATTGCCAAAGACAACCTTGTTTTTTATAACGGTTTTTCAGGGAAGACAGACAGAAATAAATTCAGACAAAAACCTAAACGCATTTCCACTATCAACTCTAGTCATTTAACCACAACTGTCCTATAATGCTTTTAGATAATAAAGAGAGGACATCCTAAACTCAAAATTGTTAATAGACAGGTATATTCACGGCCCAGACATCGGTCATGGTCATTACATGGCCAACACAGTAGTAAATCTTCCAAACTACCGTCAGGAAGAAATCTATTGTAAATTATGATGTACTTGAATATTAAGATGTATTGTAAATATAAATGAAGACTTTCGAAATGAAATGAATAAGGAGATTGCCAGAATTTCAAAGATTAATAGCGCTAATGCGTTTATAAAAGCCAAAAATAGGATAGATCCCACAACAAACGTGAGTAAAGACACTGTTATACTAACATATCATAACACCGGGGTCAGTTGTTCCGGGCAGGGGAACCCCTGGTCGAAAAAATCCCGGAACAACCTTCAAATGACCGTCAATTGTTAGAAAACACAGTAGATACCATTCAGAACAACATTGTACAGGCAGAAGAAGTCAAAAATAATATAGACCTAACGATCGAAAACGAGGATAAAAATGACAACCAATTCTACAGCTCGGTGGAGAGTAGCGACGATGAAAATAGTATAGCTAATACAGATTTAGAAATGGATAATCAGGATACAGATATCCAGGGGGAAAAACCAGACGAGGATCCAGCCCTCCCACATGATTTACCCACAAATAAGGAACCGCAGGACTCCAATAGTAATAAGAAAAAGTCTCACTCGGACGAATTTGTATCGGAATACGTGTCTATACCCTCGTCAGAAGGAATAAAAATTACAATCAAACAAAATGACGTCCCATTAGCCTTAAGGTAAAACATTATGAAATATAACAGCGGTTCAGAGTATTCGGGAGATGAAAATGGTCCCCCAGTCTTAAAACAAACCAATATTACATGTACTAAGGAGCTCACATTACCAGACGGAAGAAGGCAAATGAAAGGAGTAGAATATTATCTAGAGCCGGAGGAAAAGACATCGTCTAATAGTACGTTCCAATTTCAAAGAACTAAGAGATCCAGAGTAGATGAGGGCGACATAAACAAAATCAATGTTCTACAAAGAGGAGAGGACATGGATGTAAAAATTAACACACCTCCCAAAATTAGTGCCAACCTCAAAAGAGTACTCAAACAAAAAGTTATGGCTACGTTACAAAATCCACCAATTCCACTGAAAAACCGTTATCAGATCCTATCAGACACATCGGAAGTAGAAAAAGATGAAAGTGAAATTGAGAAACGTAAGCAGGACCCGAGAAAAGAAAGAAGAAACAGCAGAAAATATGTTACCGATACAACCAAAGTTACAGAGAAAAATACGGGACACAAATCAAAAAACGATCTAACATGCCGCCAATAGTGATGAACGGAGTTCCAGAAGACCATAAGGGACTAATGAGCACGTCAAAAGGTATTATTATTAAAGGGCAATTTAACATCAAATACACTAATGCGTTGACAATAGTGTTCACCGAGGAGAAATCGGACTATGACAACTTACTGACCAATATAAAAAGTGAGGAGGTGGCATACCATAGATACATTAGTAAAAGCGATAAATCGCATGCCTTTGTGCTTCGTGGACTAGGAGAGGGTACTAAAATAGATGATCTGGAAGAAGATCTAATGAACTCATATGAGATCAAAGTTAGATCAACATACAGAATGACTACCAAGAATAGACCCCTATACCTGGTAGTAACAGATCCATTAATAACATTAGACTACTTGAACAGAAATGTCAGAGTGGTACTGTACACCAGAGTGACCTGGGAGCTACGCAGGTCGACAAAGCAGATCATACAGTGCCACAACTCCCAGGCATGGGGGCACGCGACTTCCAATTGCAGCAGGCCACCAAACTGTCTCAAATGTGCAGCAAATCACCATAATCACCATACCAGGACATGTATCAAGTCCAGAGACACACCTGCCAAATGTTTCAACTGCGGAGGCGACCATCCGGCCAATTTCACTAAGTGCAAAGCTTACCTAGATAGAGTTGCTAGAATTGACGACCGAAAACAATCAAACAACACTATGAGGAAGAAATATATACTTATACTTGCACCCGCTCCAAAAAGAAATATATGGGATAGAAATAATAGAGATGCCAAACAAAGAGACGAACACAACGAAGAATTTCCGCTTCTTCCAGGAATCAGCACACAACAAGCCACTAAGCAGCAGACAAGGCAGCAACAACAACAACCCAACTACCACAACAAAGAAGACATATAAGAAGGTATGGATGACGTTCTCGCCCTGAATCATGATATGCAAGAACTAAATTCATTAGTTAACATCGCAGAATTAACAAGAGCGGTAAGAGATCTTAATTCAAAGCTAAGGGCATGCCGCAGCAAAGCATCCACCTTTTTAACATACAACTTTATGTCTAACCTCAATTC